TTCTTTTCTTGGGATATTTCACCAGCCAATTAACATACCGAGCATTGGATGGAGCTTCATTTATTACTGACGAGCCCAAACGTTAAAAAATCGAGGCGTAGCGTAAAGAGCCGATAATTTTTTAATTTGGAACAAGGCAGTAATAACACTGGTAACATTTCGTGGTACGTGAGCAGGACAATCTCACGATTTTGTGAAAATTTACATTACTGCTATAGTAAACAAATGAATTCTGTTACTTGCACGTCAATAACGATATTGCTGAAGTGTTGTAGCCTGTACTCTATTTAAGCAATATTTCGGTAATTTCGAAAAAAAGGATGCAAATAATTCTCCTGAACTTAACTATACCTAAAGAAATGACGTTCGGTGAGGAAGTAGGCGGTCGACTTCGGTGGACGACACTTTCATTATGTTGTGATGTATTACAGGAGAAGAGGTTCATTGGTGGAATACCAGGAAATTAAGGGTTTAATTTACCTAAATTATACATCTTTCTATTTTGTACTAATTAATAGTATTACAAATAACAATAATTATCTCCAAACTTACTCGAGTACTTTTATAGTTGAATAAAATTTGTTTTGTAAATCGCCATATTTTTTTCTTAATAAACATTTTGCTTTACGATGAATCGATGGTTTGTTTAGGATGGCGACAATGTTGCTAAGGATGTTAAATTCTTTAGCATACAGGTAGGTACTAGTTGCATAAACAGAACCTGGGGTTGCAAACGTTAACAAGGGGTTAGAAGATGCGTGGTGACTGTAAAAAGGGAAAACAGTTTAATTTGTCTCTTATACTTTAAATAGGAAGAGGTCGAAACAAGTTTTCTAGTGTTTTTGTAATGAGATTACTTCTCGAACTTTATCGCCTAAAAATCAGCTTCGCTAACTAGACTCTGGTGCAATATTGACCTCGGCTGTTGTAGGGAATAAGATCTGATCTTTATTGCATAGAGCTTTGAAGTATATAATTTTCGACTCAACTATTATTCGAAGTGCTTCAAAACTTAATGGCGATTAATATCGACAATTAAATGCAAGATCACGCCACATTTTGTGTGAGAAATACTTACTTGAAACGACCTGGAAATTACAGTGCATGTGAATTTCAACATTTGTACCGCTAGTAGATCTCAACGCAAATATACAGATATTCGTGTTTTGTATTGTTCGCATTTTCCTCAATCGTTTTGTTTTAATAATTGTATTCTCTGAATTGAATGTTATATAAAGATCAAATTAAACATTTATCTACTAATAAAAATTCAATTGTAATTGACTGTATACAGTCTTATAGAGGGATATTTACTTACTTTTACTCCCGACCTCGACTTCCGATAACTCTTGCTGAGCGTTAAGTCAACTGAAATTTAACTGTCAATTCAACTTTACTGAGAAAATGCAAAAAAGAGTAATGTGGTGGGCGTGATGTATTTTGTTCGCACCCACCGTTCGTGAAGTCAAAATTATTCACATTATTGGAGTAACCTAGGCTAAGTATTATCGTTTTCTAATTATCGAAACTAATTACCATTAGAAAAAAATCGTTTTGGGAGAATTATCTACAGATTGCGCAATTTTCCCACGGATTTATCTCCACATATCCGATGGTTGACTGTCACTCGTATGAACTGTACAACCACAACACAGTCGTTCGAACCGCATAGAACCTACATTCAAGACCGGCTTCCATTTCTGTTAATTTGCCATCGAAATAAGTAGATAATTTCACATACAATGATACATACCACTCAAAACGCGAGAGGCGAAATACATAGACGATTCTATGCTATTATGGTAGATGATACACTGCTAGTTTTTCTTCACACTCCTGAAAATTTACATAGATGGTTGAACTGCAAATCTCATCCATCTTTTCTGCGCTACTACAAGGTTTTTCTCCTTTCTGATGTATCAACCTAGATACTTCACTACAACCGTCACCGCTCATTCCGAAGTTGATAATAATGTTATTCCATTATTTTTCTCGGCTTTATTTTCACTCAAGGCTGTAGCAGAACATTCAGGGGAGGGGGTAAAAGTGCCCCAAGCTTTAATTCAATTTCTGAATAGAAGGCATTTTTATAATTTTATTATTGGAATGTCATGTTTTCCTAAAAAATCTCGAGACGAAACAGCCTGATTATTAGATGCAAGATATAAAAAAAATAACAAATCTCGGGTTTTTTGATTTGTTTCCATATCATTACTGGAAGAGGAAAGTTCTGGAAAACATTATGAGGTTTTTATACGCTATAGACTTTGCAGATTTTTTTTTCCAAAAAGTTGGCGGGAAGATTTAAATTTTTAAAGCGGTCGAATGAAAGACAATATGTTTTGTATAATAATGAAGAATTCACAAGTAACTATTATTCTACAAATTCGTAATCCTTCCTAAATTGCGAAGCTCGTGCCTTTAGAAAGGTCAGGCAAACTTGAAATTCAACTCAAGCTTGTGTGTCTATTATTCTTTCTTGTCTACATTGATGTCCTGAACAATCAGCAGTTGCAATTGACTTAATCAATATTTGATTCTCTGTATTTAGGTAAGGAATGACACGTTTCGTGTTTGCCAAATTGATTAAGGTTCGCACCTCATGCGCTTTTCTGTGATGACTGAAGATGGGTTGAACAGTAATTGCAAGCATCTGTAATATAAACGAAATCGTTACTAATGCTGAGAAAAGTGCGTGTTTTTTAACCCCACTCAGTTACAATTTGACCATGCAGATATTTCCCTTTGAGGTATGTCAAAAAAGTGTGTAGCGTCGGAATGAATGAATATTGATTCGGCCGTGTTTCAACATTATAGTCTTAAAAATTGTTGCATTATGGTTTTTTATTGTAAATTCATTGTAAGGCGTGATGAAATCAATTGAACTTCTATTTAGCTGCCACATTTTTATTCCCTGTCACTCCTTAGCTCGACATTCCTATCTCCAGGAGTGTCTTGTTTGCCAAGAGTATTCACGAAGTGTTTGTGATTCTAATTATAGACCTTGTGGTAGCTTTGCGAATTATTTCAATTTGACGCGTTTATATATTATATTTGTAAATTAAAATGTTCCCTATGATTGTTCATATTTATAATTCTTTTCTAATGGTTTCATAATAGTTTCACAAAGAACATTGTCGTTGTTAATTACAGAGAAATATGTCAGCAATGGCAGCTCCAACAAGCTATAGTATGAGGTTCTGATCAGTAATAAGTCAGAAAATTAGTGTAACCAATTAAGCGTATGCCGGTTAATTTAGCACAATAGAGCATTCCCTGGTTTCTTTTGATATAAACTATATCTATTTCATTTTCGCTATTGCGTCGTGTAGTGGGATTTTACGATTAGTTTAAATGTGGATTCACAATCTTACAACCAAGCGCGAGCTGGTATTTACTACTTTGGTAAGGCTAAACAAAATCTACAGTTAACTTAAAACAAATATCACCAATACTTTGGCCTAGCGGCTTTGAAGATTAGAAAAAATGTATCATCAACCTATCATCGACAGGAAGGGAGGTTAGACCTCTTGGTCTCAAATTGCTTCATACCATCTCTTCAAGGGACGTCCTACACTTCTTTTAGCCTTCTATGTAACATATTGGAAGAAAAATTGTACTTATTCTTATGTTACTGGACATTCTCAAGACTTCGCGCTTTCCAGTTTTCTAAGATATTCCTTTTATGGTATCTATAACACGCTCAAATATTAATAGAAAATAATAATGTTAATGTCCTAATTGCGTAGGTATTCTTCTATCGCTCTACCGCGTGGTGTTTTTGTAAACACGCTGAACGGTCAGTTCCGCGAGCGCGTGTTTGTCCTGACGCCGTCTCAGCCGGAGAAGCGCGCGCGGGGTGACTTTTCCCTGCTGCACATGCGCCACTGCGGTGCGAGGAAGCGCGCCCTGGGCCACAGCAGCGGCGCGCAGTCCGCACAGGGGCTCGGTTCTTACAGCACGTCCAAGGCCCCGACCCTGTTCTCCGCTAGCACCCCAAGCGCCAGGCAGACCCGCGCGCGTTGGTTGATCTGCCTCGGCGCAGTGGGCCAACTGCTTGTCAGACGAGACAAGATCGTGGAGAACGCGAAAGCTACAAGAGAGCTGACTTGGGAGACGAAGAAAGAAGGAGGGAAAAAGAAGGGAGGAAGAGGGGGGAGGAGGGAAAAGGGAAAAGGGAGGGGGAAAGGAGAAACACCAGGAGGACCGAAGACGACCCATTGAGGGGTGTCAGCGCATGTGTGGTATCCCCAGAATCCTGTGTTTGGAGAAAAGTGGCTGATGGTTAATTAGCCCAAATTAACACTCATTTGGTAAGTCCTGTTTTCATCATTATGATATTATGTAAGAACGACCACTGACTAAAACATTTGTGGCCTGGCTTACATCTGTGTAAAACAGCATCGCCTATGCTTAGGCCACTATTGCCGCAACCGGAAATGTAATCGTAAGCCTGCGTGGCATAGTTATTTTGTAATTATAACTTGAAAAACTGTCGAGCGAACCTGCTGAAAACCTGTTACACGTTGAAGTTAGGGAGTTAGATGTGATTAAACACAGATACCAGCAATTTCCTAAAAAATGTGGGATTAGGCCACTATTGCGTTTGTCCACCTCATTTCTGCCCTTACATATCTTGGAATATGCCTTTTAAAAATATTTGCATTTATGACCAAAAATTCTGAAACCTCTGCTGCACTTGTAATACGCAATGAAATTAACATATTTATATGCCTGTAACACATTTTTCTTGATCAAATGCGGGAGAAGCTTGCTGTTGGAATGAAAATTAGTCTTTTGTAAACAAACCTAATATAACTAGCTTACTTCGGCGAGCCCAAATAATTGTAGTAAATCATTCAACTTAGTGACGGTACGTTTGAATATATTTATTTCATTT